ATATATATTATATATAGAAATATATAGACATATATATATATATATATATATATATATATATATATATATATATATATATAGACATATATAGACATATATATATAGACATAGACATTATATATATATATATATATATATATATATATATACATATATATATATATATATATATATATATATATATATATATATATATTATATATATAATATATATATACTTTATACATATTTACATATATATTATATATATATATATATATATATATATATATATACATATATATACATGAATACTATATATATATATATATATATATATATATATATATATGAATATATATATATACTATACACATAGATATATATAGATATTTATCTACCTATTTATCTATCTATCTATCTATTTATATGGACTTACCTTACAAATTCCCACTAACCTATCTATCTATATACATACATACATATATACATACATATATATATATATATATATATATATATATATATATATATATATTATATATGGACTTATCTTACGGATCTATCTATCTATCTACATCCTCCCCAATCCCTTGCCCGTTGTTGTTGTGGGGGGGCTTAGGAGACGGAGACTGAGACCGAATACAGGGATCTCCCCTGCCTAGGGCCTCAGCCCTCGACTCAGCTAATTTTACATGGTCTTTTCCCCCTCCAAGATTTTGTTTCCGTCCCTTCTCCAACCCCTTCTACTTCTACTTCCTAAGGTGCAAGAGCCGTGCTGAAAGGATGAAAGGCTGACCTTGTGCCAGTCCTGAACGGCCTGCGGGAACCATGGGCATGGTACTCCCGATTTAGTTGTCTAGCCCCTACCCCCGTACAGGGCTCTAGGGGTGGACTGTATTTCCCTTTACATAATCAAGGCTTCCCATGGCCGGTAATGAAGATTTTGTACCCCTATTAGGAGCATTGAGGCTTGCCCCTTTATCAAATAACCTCATTAGTTCTGACCCCAATGAGTTACCGACCCCTGACCCCCCTTTGACCACGGCTTCGATTACTGATTCTACCCCCTAATTGACAACACCTACCATCAACCTAACCCATCCTGAACTATCTACTCAAATAACCCAACCTCTAAATAATACCTCTCTCTCAACCCCGATATCCTTGACACCATCTACTACTCAAATACCTCCATCTTCTACATCCCCCTCCCTTATAACAACTCTTCAACCTTATTACCCCCCCCCCAACACATCACTACATCTCTCCATACTAAACCCTCCACCTCTCGACCTCGTCCTTATACAGTTCCCACCTCTGCAACTCATTTAAATACACAGTTTAGCCCAGCCACATGGGATAGATTTTTCGTGATTCCCTCTACAGCCCAGTACTCTGATAATAGCCTACTTTTCCAAAAATGCCTTCAAAAACAAGTAGGCAAGATCCCTTTCCGCAACTGTCCTGATCGTTCACGCCTTGTCACAGTTGAATCTGAGGCTCAAGCCCGAGCAATATCTAACCTGGCTGACCTCACCAGTAAACCTATCCCTGTACAACCCCACTCCCTTAATACTTGTCCAGGAACTGTTTCCATTCACCCAAATAAATGCCCTATGTATAACAGGGAGTGGTCAGATTGCGAAGAAAAACTGCTAGACTTGCTTACAGAATATGATGCAACATCAGTACAGTCCTACATAATCCCTTCCAGAGGCCACCGAAAGTTCCACACTAATTTTGCCAAAAAATTCCTTCTGTAGACATGACTTTCCCTATAAGGTCTATATAGGTGGAGAATCATACCAAGTCAGACAATATCGACACCCTCCCCGGCAATGCCAGAAATGCTGGCGTTTTGGCCACCCTGCAAAGCACTGTCGCTCCACAGCTAGATGCCTGAACACAATCCAAGAAAATAACCCCCTCTCAAACACCCTCTAATACCCCTATCCCTACTCGACCCACAATTAGAGTGACTGCAGACGCCCATCCTCCTCCTTTTGATATCCCCCTACCCTACTCCCCAACCCTACACCCCTATCCCTACCCCCCTAAACCCTCTCCCCAATCCCTACCCCCCTAACCCCTCTCCCACCAAACCCTACCCCTCTAACCCTCTCCCCAACCCCTACCCCTAACTCCTCTTCCCACCAACCCTACCCCCCTTAACCCTACCCCTAATCCCTCTCCCTAATCCCTACCCCCCTAACCCCTCTCTCCACCAACCCCTACCCCTACCCTTCCCTACTATCCCTCCCACTCCCCCCTGAATACACACGTAAATCTCTTCTATCACAATACTCTCCCCCAGACCCCATCTTCCCTATTGAACCCCAGAACACTACTCCAACTTCTCCTGACCTTTTACTTCAACCCCCAGATACCTAATCTCCCATTATTAAGACAACCATACCTATCGCTGTCACCCTTCAAATCATCATGGCTTTACTACAATGGAACATTCGAGGTTTCCGCTCTCACAGACTTAACCTCCGATATCTCATATCTACCTACAACCCATCCATCATCGGTCTACAAGAAACCTTTTAACACATCACCCAGTGCCAATTCCAAATTATCATTTCGTATCATTCCCTCACTCTATCACTCATTCTTCAATACTAATTCATCAAAAAACTCCATACACTTGACGCTCTGTCCAAACCACTATTCCTTGCACTATTATTTGTATTTTTCTCCAACAATGGATAACAGCTATTTCAGTTTACTTTTCTCCCCTATTCCTATTGACTTTAATGCCTTCAAAACATTACTCTCTCAACTACAACCACCTTTCATCATAACAGGTGATTTCAACTGCCGTCACACTCTGGGGTGATACCATCACAACTTCACGTGGTTGATCCCTAGACTATTTCCTTTCCACTACCGACCTCATTATCCTTAACTCTGACCGCCCCACACATTTTGACATGCGTACTCAATCCTTTTCCCGCCTGCACCTCTCTCTATGCTCTCCTTCTCTTTACTTACATTATCATTGGTCAGTCCTAGACCAATACCCCTATAGTGACCACTTTCCGGCCCTCCTTACCCCTACTTCCTATATCCCACTTCCTAATCCTGCAAGATAGTGCTTTGATAGAGCTGATTGGCAAACTTTCACCTCTCATGTTACCATAATTCACCTAACATCTCATTCGTCACCTATTTCTGACAAAATACAGAAATTCTCAACAAAAGTCTTAAGAGCTGCCTACACAGCCATTCCCCAAACCAATAGATCTTGTACGTCTAAATGCGTTCCACGGTAGATCCCAGAATGTACTAATGCGCTCCGCCAAAAACCAACAGCATGGAATAGCTACAGATGTAAACGAGACACCGCCTACCAACTATTCACTCTCATATCCTTTAAGAAAGTGTCTGCCCATCTCCGACGTACTATACGAAATAGTAATATAACGAGCTGGAAAACATACGTCTCCTCAGTCACATCCAAAATGTCTGTATCAGCTATCTGGCGACGTGTTCACAAAATATCAGGCAAACACCCTCCCCATCCAGCCCCAGTCCTCTATATCAGAAATACTAACATATCAGATCCTTTCCAAGTCCCTAATAAACTGGGTGGTTATTTCAGCCAAGTTGGTAGCGGCTCTCATCTTTCTACACATTTCACTTCCATTAAGATCACCAAAG